TTATTATTATTATTATTATTATTATTATTATTATTATTATTATTATTATTATTATTATTATTTGACCACAAAGAGATGTAGTAATAGAGAAGAACAGGGGCTGTTTTTCTCTTCTTAATGCAACCTGAGCATGTACTTTTTGTTCTTTTATTCTCCAGAAATTATCCAGTGACCCATAGCAGGTTCACAAAGAAGGAAAATAAACCTGTAAGTGGAGCCCTATCTAAGTGTTAAATAAAGAAACAGTGGCAGTCACTTTCTCTTGTAGAAGTGGGTCCCTTTTATATCTCTCACTCCTCAATTTTTAGAAAAGAACCCATCTCAACATGCATTTGTTAGTTAGCCTTCAGAGCCCAATCTGAACTTGAAAGAGGGAGTTAATCAACTGCGGTTGCCTTCTCTGTAGGAGGTGACTACTCTACCGCTGTTTCTCCCTTTCTTCAGAAAAAGAACCAGAAGTAATAGATGCTGAGTGAGATGCTGAGTGAGAGAGCACAGAGGGCTCCCCACAACACCGCCTGCAAGCTAAAGAAGCTATCTCAGTCACGTCAGGAAAAACAACAACAACAACTGTTTCTACCCTTCCTATCACAAACATAACCAGAGCTGTTGCTTAAAACAGCTTTTTTAAACCACAGTCCATGAAAGCTTTTAATGACAAGATAGTGATCCATTTAAAGGAGAAATCCCAGAGATCTGAGTTTTAATATAACCAATATAAATAGACCTGAGTTGTAAAAGCAACCGCTTCTACCTTTCTGAGCTTTAAAACAATTAGTCCCTTTTAATAATTAAAACAACACAGCCAAAAGACAAACAGAGGTAGATGCATGGTTGTATTGACTCATCAGTACCTAAATTACAATGACATGGTTAAAATTAGCCTCAAATATAAGATCTAGCAAGAGAATTAATTAAGCCTATAACACACACAGAAAAGCAACCAATGGCAAGCCTTATTCCCACGGCAGGTATAGATCGACATATAGCCGTTTCTGCACACACGGGGGTGAGGGGGGTGTTCAAACGGTTAATGGCAACTGCCTCAGTAAAACGAAAGAAATGAGAGTTCTGGTGGTACAGTAGAACTTTAAACACAGAGTTTTGATCCACCTGGTGACCCGTAGATAGTAAGTGTCTTGCAATGGCTGAAGAAGGCATTTTATGGCCATGAGTTGCTGTTGTTGCTGTTTGGACTCATTTCGGAAGATGCTCCTTTAACCAGAGTTGTTGCTTAAAACAGCTTTCTTACACCCTAGTGCCTGAAAGCTTTCTTTGACAATGTAGTGATCTCATTATGACTCAAATCTATATATTGGCTATAAAAAAACCCCCTCAGTTTCTGGGATTCACTTTCATTGCGGCTTCAGTTTTTAATGCTACTGGAAAGATGAAGAAGGATTATATTTCATCATGGTACTGAAATCCGAACCATCTATTTTTTTAATGTGCAATCCTATAATCTTTACATTTTGATAATAAAAATACAAGGTAATAAAAAAGCTTCTCTCCAACATTGTTCCCTCCTCATATACTAAGACAATTTTGTTCCTATGTTTTCATTTATTTGCCCTGAATTGGTCCCACCCAGATTTCTACAGAGTTAGTAATAGGATCTCCTTTGAACTGTAAAAAAATTAAGATTTTATACCGTAAATACCAGCCTCTAAATACTAGCCTTTCTCAAAATATAAGTAGTCCTCAATTTAGTTCATTTAGTGACCATTCAAAGTTACAATGGTACTGATTTATGACAATTTTTAACATGACCATTGCAGTATATCCATGCTAATACCAAAACATAGTTCAGTGCAGCCTATTGCAGTATCAAAGAGTTGAACACATCACTCCTATCTCCAGCTGTATGTACTGTATATATGAAAGTGAAGAAGTCATACCTTCTCTAGCAAACTTAGCAACATCAGAAAATGTCTGAGCATTTTGGAAGGGTATGAAGGGCTTTGGAGCATCTGTTTCATTCTATTGTTTTGAAGCAGAAACCTGGTTCAGCTTACACAGCTGGTGTCACTGAGATGATTTGATGGAGGAATCATTGAATCAAAGTACTATTGACACTTTCAGAGATAGATAGATAGAGAGAGAGAGAGAGAGAGATAAACAGACAGACAGACGGTGGATAGAAAGATAATAAATAGCTGATAGGTAGATAGAGATGATAGACTATTGACACTTTCAATGATCGATAATAGATATCTGATAGATATCTGATAGATAGATAGATAGATAGATAGATAGATAGATAGATAGATAGATAGATAGAGATAGATAGATAGACCAAAATGACTTAGGTTTGTTTTAGGAGATTCTATTAAGATGATTATCTTTGTTGATGAGGATGATGAACATTTTATCCAAGTGTAGCAGCAATGTGGCTCATGCTTGTCTACCAGGATAGGTTGAAATGCTTCAATAGCAGGTTTGCCTGAAGCATGCACTGAAGATGACTGACCTTAAAGACTTTCAGGCATAGTAAGGACATTCCACTCTGGATGCAAAGAAACAGTTCTGCAAACAGTTCTGCAAACAGCGCTAAAAAGGTTTTTGCTGGAAAGACCTTTAGTATACATACAACTAAAAGAGTTACAGTAACTGCTTTTATGGACATTTCCTTTATGCAGGGGGCTGTTTCCAAACTAATGGAGCCTGGACAAGTGAACCATGGAGCATGAGGACCAGGCTAATAAAAACCAGAAAATGTTCTAGTATAAAACCATATAGAAAAAAAGAAAAGAAAAGCTAAAGTAAGCATCCCTAATACTTTGTTTTGAGATTGTCTTTCTAGGAAGGTAGCAAAGCACTGGGGCACAATGATTTGCCTTTTTAATTTCAAAGAATGGAAATAGAGTTTGTATTGTAAGTTCCAGAGACAGTGAATTAAGACTGAATCCTTGCCTTTTGTATTTCAGCCTGGTCCTCAGGATGATTTCTAAAATAATTTGATTTCTAGCAAGATCAATATTACGTTATTCTGCTTCTAGTTTTAAAAAATCCAGTGTTCATTACAGCATTTTGCAAACCAGAATTTATTCAAATAAAACAAGTTGAGAAGAAGGCATATTTAGATCATTCAAACAATGCCTTTGCTGTTTATTTATTAACTTTAAAGCTGTCAAAAATGCTTTGGGTATAATTTAATTCTTGCACAAATCTACAGCATGGTTTAATTTGCATATTCCATCTGAGAGAGAGAGAGAGAGAGAGAGAGAGAGAGAGAGAGAGAGAGAGAGAATGCATTTCACACAATTTATTGTTGCTTTGAAGTGATGTTTTGCAGTAGCAACTCTGTTAAACCTAATATTAATAATGACAGCATATTAAAATTTCTAGTTCTAGCAAAACCGCACTTATAAACCACTTATCTAAAAGAAAATAACAAGACGAAGGAAAAGGAGAATAATTACCTGTCTTTGATGCCACAGATATCAATGCGCAAATCACTGTAATTCCCCAGGGAGCCTTGCTGAACTAAGGTAAGGTCCTTGGGCTGGTTATCAATAAAGATGAGTCTCATGCAACCTTGAAGAGCCATAATGGGATTTAAACATTTTGAATCGGTAAAATTGTCAGGGCACCCTGTGAGACAAAGAAAGTAGAAAGCAGTGAGATGAAGAATACTTAAATGATAAATTTATTTGCTTGGGGATTCATAGAAAGGAAGCCTAATTATTTTTATTGTTGTCATTGCTTGCTCAATGTGAGCATTTAAGTTTCAGATTCTATAGAAATACATTGAAAAAGCCTTCAGACAAAATAGATAATAATGGCGATAGAAGACAGATATTGGGGCAAGTTCAAACTTTATTCCTTTTAAACATTAAAAAGCATGTTTTTTGTTGTCTTCAGAGGGATCCCCCTCCCAGATGGATTGGAGTTGCATGACACCACCTACTTAGGATATCTGTTCACAAATTAAAAGGTTGTATTATATCAAGGCAAAGCATTCACCCTTCTATCCAAATATATGATCCATTGCAGGGGGTGGTGGTGTCAAACTCATGACGTCACGGCATCGTCATGTGATGTAATACAACTTTTCCCTTTGCTAAACTGGACATGGGCATGGCCAGCACATGATGCATCCGGCCTGCAGGCCACATGTTTGACACTTCTGATCTACTGTGACTGTAAGTTTTTAAGATCTTATGCAGAGAAATCCCTTCCTTGACTTTTTTTTTGTATTAGGCTTCAGAGATTAAGTTCAGGTATTTTCTGATTATAAAATATGTCTTTACCTTATTAAGAGATCTTAAGAAGAGCTTGGCTCTATTTTATTTATTTTTATTTTATATTTCATTCTGCCTTACTTATTTTTTTTTTTTATAAACAACTCCAGTTGGGAAACATACCTAATACGCCTCCCTTCTCCTATTTTCCCCACAGCAACCCTGTGAGGTGAGTTGGGCTGAGAGAGAATTCTGAACATTAATCTTAAGACCCAGTTTGTTTACTAAAGTTATCAAAAATACCCATTAAAATACTCTTGCTCATTTTACTTTCTCTACAATTATAGAAGCAGCATAAAAAGAGCAATTATCATGCTATAATTAGTTTTACTTTATAATGAGAATAGATGTGCTGATTATTAACAAAAATAAAACTCGATTAATGGACATGAAAAGGTTTGTTTTACTGTTGGGAATTAATATAAGGATGGGAGAAAAACAGCCCTTAAAGTCTGATGCAGTCTCTGTTATTGGAGGAGCTGTTTTGTACTCATGCTAGGAACTTTTGGGGATCATGGCAGCTTATTGCTTCCTTTTTTTCTTGTTCCCTGATCATCTCCTTTATCTTATTTCATTTATTTGTCCTTTATCTCTCCGGTCTTTCCTTTATCAGTTTTTTCTGGAGTATATAATCCACTCCAACCTTGCACCTTCTACAGTAGTTTGTTCAGTATCTGTGGATGGCACATAGTTGGGGAAAGCTGTCACTTCCTATTGAATATCAGTCTTGTAAGCCATATGGGGACTTATGAATTTAGATTCTATCTCTTCTCTTTCCAGTTCCTCTTTTTTTCCTCCACTGTGGCCAATCATTACTGTTGATCAAACAGCCTAATTCCACAATCTATTTTCACAATGGCTCACCAAGTGGTTCAGACTGACTTTGTAGCACAATGTCAACAACTGCCAATGATATACATATAATGATATAATGATATATCATTATTCTAAAAGTACAAACAAGGATGTTAAATTTCTTTATTTAATTTAATGTGTGTGTGTGTGTGTGTGTGTGTGTGTGTGTGTAAATATATGTATGTATACACATCCATCTCGCCAAGGAGACTCAGGGTGGTGCACAGCAATAGATAAAAGCCAAAAATACCAAATATGAATCCATAGTAATAAATATGATAAAAACCAAATATCAACATACATTTGTGAGATTTACCAAAGAAAAACATAACAAGGAAATAGAAAAGGCAAAGAGGTTAAAATCACAGATTGGGAAATGCGGAGTGACATAGCTAAGCTAATAAATGAAGAAAAAAAAACTGTCAGTGAAGACAGCAGCAACAGAAAAATGATAATAACAACTACACCTGACTTATTGTGCAATGAACCATAACAATAATAATCCAGTTTAGAGCATGGGTGAGGCAAAGACAAGTTACAATGCAATAGACTTTGCTGAGAATATATTAAAATGCCAAGTTATATCTTATTTTTCAACAAGTGATTAGTTTAGCCGAATGCTTATCTCTAGTCTACTATAGGACTAATATATACTAAAAAAAACATCTATTTTTGATATAACCTAAAGTTGCTGCAAAATCTGGGAGACATAATATGGGACTTGATGAGCTCAACGACGTGATCACAGAACCCCCCCTTCTACCATGGTGCTCATCTAGCAACCTCTTAAGATTATGCCAGAGCAACAATAAAGTAACAATGACTTACAATTCTAATATCAACTTCATGACAAGTTCGGCTTTAGGAATCCTATGCCACCTTTTTTAAAAAAAAAAAACAAGATGGTGTTTGAATTACACTGAGCTTTATGACAGCTTGTTGAAGCTATATCAGCATCTGGACTAAACCTATCATTATACTTAGAGAGAGAGAGAGAGAGACGCATAGAGGGAAAATGAAAATGTCATCCAATAGCATTGTGCATCCTGGATATAATCAGGGAGCATAGAGTATACTCTTTGAAATATCAGTAGTGCAAAGATCAGACTGAAATGAATTCTATAATACTATTGCACCCTGAGAGAAGGTCCTAAAAAAAATAACTTCACATATATAAGCAATCCTCTGAGCAAACAGTGTTAAACAGTGCCAAACTTCTTTCTATCCTTTTTAGTATAGTATCAAAAATGAGGTTAAAGGGGACACTGGTAGAATGATTTAAAACAAACAAAAAAACAAAAAAACAAAAATCACTCAGCACTTGCCAATGCTGTGATCTAAGTTACATGCCTATTGAGAAATTGAACAAAACTGTTTTCAAAGCCATAATTCCAAACCTTAAAGATTCCACAAAAATCCACCGCTTGGTTATTGCATTTGAGAATGGAATAGGGTTTTGAATCTGCAAAAATATCTTATGGGCCTAAATGAAGCTAAATGCAAAATGCTTGTGAATAATATACATTATGATATTACTATCACCACCTTTCCTGATTATAATCACAGGAACTTTCATATAAACCTAAAACACAGAGACATTTTAAAAAGGAAACCGAGTTGTCTTTCATTACTACAAAGCAAACTTTAATCTCCAGATGAAATATTAGCAAATACTCCCTAATTGATATCTATATGGCGATGGGGGAGTGGGGAAAGGGGGGGAGGGAGAGGGAGAAAGAGAAAAAGAGAACAATTCTTCTCCAAAACTGATTCTTTGGTGTAACTAAACCCTACTCATTATATATATTATATATATATATTTATTTGGCCCCATGGAAAAGAAAACCTAAACGATTTCCTAACACACCTAAACAGCACACACCCCAAAATCAAGTTCACCATGGAAACGGAAACAAACAAACAACTACCATTCCTAGATGTACTAGTCTACAAAAAAACAGATGGCACACACCATATACCAGAAGAAAACACACACCAACCGCTACCTCAACACCCAATCCCACCACTACCCAGCACAGATAAACTCCGTGGCCAAAACACTAATAGCTAGAACCAAATGCCTGGCAGACAAGACACACATAAAGACTGAAGTATGCACCCTGACTAAAGTACTGACAGCTAACGGTTTCCACAAAAGCAAAATCACTGGCTTGATCCATAAAAACACACT